CCCTAGCACTTTTCTAGAGACAATACTAGTGAGGTTACAAAGCTCCAGATGCCATTTATTCAGCCCTCCTTGCAGGATCTAAAGTAAGCATTTTAGTAGCTTATTATTATTTTTAGTTTATTATTATATTATTTTATTATATTATTATCATTTCAAAATAGGATTGCCGGGTCCCCTCAGCTTGCCAGCAAGGGGCTTTGGGGGGTGTTCTGGGAAGAGGCGGGGATGTCCCCAATGTGATGATGTCAAGTATATGTGGCATCATTATCTTGGGGATACAGCTGCCGCTGGTGCCCGCTTTGAACTCCAAGCAGTGCCTGCTTACAAGAAGCATTTGAAGGGACTTACCCCAGCTGCTTAACCCTCCTGCAGACCCCCGACATACTCCCTTCTTGCCCTACTTGCCACCACTGAGAATGCCGCTGCCACCACCAGCCCATGATGGAGCCCCAGGACCAGCCTTCCCCTCAAAACACCTTACTCCGACAAGCCCTCATGCAGGCTCCCAACAACAACAACCCCCCCCCCCGCTCACCCTGCTCGCTACTGCGAATGCCACCGTCCTGTGACAGAGCACCAGACCCAGCCCTGCCACTGCAACACCTCACACCTCCGGAAACTGGCATCCTGCCTCCCAGGGTCCCACAGAGCTTGCCCTCGTTACCAAAAGGGATACAGGGCAAGGCTCCTGAGACTCCGAGGCAGGAGCCTGTCATGAGCATGCCCGTTTGGGCCAGGGAGAGGGAGCAGGGGGGAGAAAAGGGGGGAACTTTGGACCTAGGCAAGGCACTTACCCAGGGCTGTAGCCAGAGCTTTGGGAGAAAGGGGGAGGAAGACACCTACCCCAGTCACATACATGCTCAACAGGGAAGGATGCTGACTGCAGACATGCCCCTTTCCAACAAGGCAGGCAGACACTCACAGAAGGCACAGGGGAGGAGCAAGGAGGGGTAGATTTAAGAGGCAGCAGGGGAAGACCTATGAGCAAAGAGGAGGGCCCTTTAAATCTCACATGTGGCTGGCGGCGGGCAGGAGCCCTCAAAATCGAGGAATCCCCCACCTCTACCTGGGGTCTGGCATCCCTATTTTGAAATCAGCTGGAATAATCTGATTAAATGGCTGTCAGAGTAGTTCACCACACATTTCCATGTTTCCTTTCTAACCATATACGCATATACTTCCTCAATATTAATATAAATTAGACAGAGATATAATTTTAAGATTGGACTGGATTCCAACTATACGCTGTAGGCAGAAGGTATTTCTGCTACTGGACAAGGGAGGACAATCCTTTGCATATTAGGCCACACACCCCTAGTGTAGCCAATCCTCCAAGAGCTTACAGTAGCCCCAGTAAGAAGAGCTCTGTAAGCTCTTGGAGGATTGGCTACACTCGGGGTGTATGGCCTAATATGCAAAGGAGCTCCTGCCACCAGTAGAGCCCTGGTAGTAGGTTTTCTGAATTCTCAGATTTCTTTTTAAAAAGTAAGTCACTAGCCCTTTTCATTGCAAAGATATGCCTTTTCCCCTGTATGCCTGCAAAGGAAGAAGCTAGATACTTATTTTTTATAAAACACAAAAGCTGAGAATTCAGAGAACCTGTTACACCTATTGCTACCATGATGTATCATTATAACAATATTCTAGTGCTGATTAAAAAAAATGGTTCCCTTTGTGGTGGGGAGGAAGTGGCTGGCTGCTGTGTTGACACAGTCAGAAAAAAACGGCTGCCACGTGTGGGGCCCTAAAGGTCCGAATCTTCCCACCCACACCGCAGCCATTCAGGCTTTACTGCATCTTTCTGAAAACTCCAGAGCAAAACAGGATTGAGAAAAATTGGAGAAAAGTTAGGGAACTCCCCAGAAATGCACAAATGCGCCATGCTTTCCAAAAGCATTGAACTTGAGGCAGGTAACCCATGTGGAAGACACCACAGACTTGCAATCCAGTGTAGCTAATGCAGCAAGTTATACTTCGTAGGCATTGCACAGCTTGAATGGCAGATTTATCTCCTCTCTTGCTCTGTCCTTATTGCTTAAAAGCACTGCGGGACATTGTGACGGGCACCTTCCTATATAGATGCAGGCATATGAGTACTATTATCCTTGGAAGGGTTGCCCGGTCTCCTTGTTCCTCCAGCACGGGGGATTTGGGGGGCATTCTGGGGATGGGCAGGGATGTCATGCAACATCCCCAACGTGATGACATCAACTGGAAGTGACGTCATTGCATCGTGGATGTTGTGTGGGGGACGCTCTGGTATTTGGGTGAAACTATGGTTTTTCGTCCTTAAAACCATAGAGTTGGCCCAAATACTAGTGTCCCTGTGTGACGTCACTAATTTGATGACATCACTTCCGGGTGACATCATCGCATTGGGGATGTGACACAGCGATGTCCCTGTTTGTTTGTTTATTTATTTATTAGATTTTTACCCTGCCCTCCCAGCCAGGATCAGGCTCTCTCTTCATAGGCTGTCAGATGTCAGTGGTGGTGGGAGCTCCAAAGGCCTGGTGGAAGAGCTTCATTTTACAGGCCCTATGGAACTGCAGCAGGTCCCTGGTCTCCTCCAGGAGCTCATTCCACCACCAAGTGGAGCCACCACCAAGAAAGCCCTAGTTGTTGCTAGCCTGGTCTCCTTGATATTCAGAAGGACTAGCCAATTCTGGGTCCCCGATCGCAGCGTTCTCTGGGAAACATATGGGGAAAGGCGATCCCTTATGTATGCAGGGGATGTTTCCCCTGCCTGCCAGCTGATCCATGGGGGATTTCCTGCCCAGACCTGGGGTCTGGCAACACTAATCTTCGGGTTACTGCTGCATTGGCTCAGGGGGCAGTTTGCTAATGAAAATCAAATACAGAATTTCTGTTCATGCTTTTTTGTTTTAGAATTTCAGATTTCAACAGTACACTTCAGAGATTAAGTGAGGTAAGCTATTTGGGATGGCTGCATTTAATTATGGATTCTCAGAAATAAACCTAAATTTGAATGATTAAATACACATTTTAATTATGAAATAATTATATTTAAATTTTATTTTCTTGTAGTTATCTTTCATGCAATGTGATGCAGAAAACCAAAGGTTTGTTCTTTTAAAAAATAATTGCACTTATCTTTATGCTTCAGTACTTCGGCTGTACGTATTAAAAGATCTATTTCAGACTTACTTATTTAAGATGGGTAGCCATGTTAGTCTGTCTGTAGCAGTAGAAAAGAGCAAGAGCCCAGTAGCACTTTAAATACTAGCAACATTTGTGCTAGGGTATGAGCTTTTGTGAGTCACTGCTCACTTCTTCAGATACTGCTCAAATGTGAGTCCATCTGATCTTATATCTTGGAGAATGAAGTGATTTCAGATACCAAATGACAATAACAGGCAAATGACAATAGCAGGTGAATGACAATAGTAATTGGTAATGAGACAGGAAACCTAGGTCTCGATTCTTGCAACTGATAATGAAGCTCAAGATGATGCATCCTTCTGGACTGAATTGAGACTTAAGTTTCCCGTTTCATTACCAATGGTACTTTCATTACCCCAGAGGTAATTACTTGCATGGATTTATTCTTTAAGCTGGTTTTCCTTATCCATTAGTGTTTGTTCTAGTAAGTAGCATTTTAGTTTGCTATGTGGCTGTCTAACTGATCAAGAAGAGCAGAGCAACGTTTTAAGAAAGTGATATGGACATGATAGTATTTATATGTGAACCATATAACACCCATTCAGTGGGATTTACATTTATTTTTTTCTCCATTATAGTACATCAGATTGCAGTTTCATTGTAAAGTTGGACACAAGAATGAACATAAGCAGGGTACTGGCATATTTACAAGACAAAGCATTTGTTGGCCCTATCAGTAAGTAGTCCTTGAATACTCAGCATGTATCTCTTGATTAGCCAAGGACATGTTTTCTCTGCATCCAAATTTCAGCACTTTACGCTATGAATTCAAACAGAAGATGACATTGGTAGCTCTAAGGCAATAAAAAGCCCTCAAGAATCAGCACATTTAGGATTTTTAAACTTGGGTTGGCATACCAGTGTCTTGGTCACCTTACCATTCTAGTTATACATAATATTAAAATATGAAAGACATCAGTAATGTCTATCCATTTACAAATGGTGTTACTCTATTTAGTTTGTTGTGGGTCTTTGATTTGAAGTTTCGTCTACCCAAACAGTGATGGTGCACTTGGGGCTACACTGCTTTTACTGCTGTCACTGATCCTGTGGGAGGAAAAGAAGCCCATGTTCTTAGCGATAGGCAAAGCTAAGTAACACTGCAGGAAGAGACACTGTCTCTGTCTGCACATGTCTGGTGAGTGGACAGCAGCACCCAGTGCAGGCCAATAATGTAGTTAGCTTGCACTAGGCAATACAGGGGATCAACTGGTCCCTTTTTCGGTAAGCATGTAGGTTGTGTTTTCATAATCAGTAGTAGAATTCCATTCCCACGGTTATTCTACAGTTGCCATAATGGACATACATTTCATGTGATTTCCATGGAGTTTAATGGCATAACGATAGTGTCATATTTTGCACACTGAGAATAATTATGTGGAAAACAATGCTAATCTCTGCTAGTAGGCAAATTAATGTGATGTTCAGTTACATTTCTTCTCATGTTTAAACTACAGAGCTCTGCTGCTGTTCAACTACACAGCTTTTTTCTTGTCCCTCAACTGTCAAAGAGCTGCAACAACTGCAGTGGTAAGTGTGACATAAAAATAAAGCAGCTTAATTTGGGGAGTTGGGGTGTACTCAGGCGGGGGGGGGCTGTTATTTCTAGGCAGTTGTGTAGTACAATTCTCTATGTATTTGGGTTGTATGAATGTACAGCCTGATCCCCTATATGGTTTTGGTCTGCAGAGGAGAGACAAGCACTTGCTAAAACAAAGCTGTAGTGTAGTATGCCATACCTTCTTTCCCCCAGGCTCTTTCTGTGAGTAAAAGGCAGGGGGAGGAGGGGGCAGGGTCCTTTCCAGGGCTGCTTTGGCCTCTGAAGGAGGACTCATCCATGCCTGACAGCAATTACTGGATAACTGGATAACACCCAGCTTGCATGACTCAACTAGGTCTGGCTGTTTGCTACTGTTCAACAGCAGCCACCCAATAAAAGCCAGTGTGGGGTACAAGTTAGAACTTCAGAGTGGGGTCTGGGAGACCCAGGTTCAAATCCCCATTGTGCTGTGCTGTGGAAGCTGACTGATTTTGTCACATATTTTCAGCCTGACCTACCTCATAGGATTGCTGTGAGGAGAAAAAGTAGGAGAGGAGAATAATGTAAGCTGCTTTGATCCTCACTGTGGAAAAAGGTGGGGTATAAATGAAGTAAATAAATTTTAAAAATCTAGCTGAAGATGGGAGGCAAATAAGAGGTAGGTTGATGAATGGCTGAGACGGGCAGAATGAGGCAGGGAAAGGGAAGAGGATATGGCGGTTGCTAGGAAATACAGGGTAAAGTGAGGTGCCCCCTGCAAGTTATTGTGGATTCCTTACCATGCAAGTGGGCCTGGTCCAGCAGCCAGCACCACGCAAGAGGGCCATAGTTTTCCCAGACAGAGCCTGCGGGTGGAGAGGGAAAGCTGAAGGTGGGGGGCACAGATAACGGTAGGTTGGCTGTAAGGTGGGAAGGAAAGAAGGAAGCAGGAAAAGGGGAGAGGCTGTGGAGGCTTTCAGGAAAGGGAAGGAGAAAACAGTGCGGGAAGGGGAAATGAGATACCCTTTGCAAGTTCTTGCAGGTCCCCTGTTTGTTCCAATATAATTTCTTTATATGATTTCTTGTCTTCATACACCATCAAGTAATTTATCACCAGTTCATCAACCTTTGTAGGAATTTATGTAAGAGATCTGAAATCTAGGTAGGTGCTGAAGTGCAATATTTTTGCACATCAGAGAGACCCTGCAAACTGATGTGTTAGTGCAGATCTATATTGTGGCTTCAGTGGCTCAAGTGGTTAAGATGCTAAACTGCAGGCTGTGGAAGGTCGGTAGTTCAGCAGTTCGCGACCCGAGTGTGCCGCATGACGGAGTGAGCTCCCGTCTCTAGTTCCAGCTCCTGCCAACCTAGCAGTTCGAAAGCAAGAAATTGCAAGTAGATAAATAGGTACCACTTTGGTGGGAAGGTAACAGCGTTCCGTGCGCCTTGGTGTTTAGTCATGCTGACCACATGACCACAGAAATGTCTTCGGACAGCGCTGGCTCTTCGGCTTTGAAACGGAGATGAGCACCGCAACCCTAGAGTCGGATTCGACTGGCTTTTGAGCAAGGGAACCTTAACCTTTTTATATTGTGATCAGACTGTTTGTGACAATAGGAGCTGGGAGACATCTCTCTGAGTGCCTCTTTTCCTCTCAAGTCTTATCACGTGTTGTCTGAGTACTAATCCTGAAGCAAATATAGCACAATTATCAAGATATTTGTTATCCAGTGAGTATTTATTTTTGTTTTATTTAAAATAATGATGCCCCACTTTTCTCCCCAATGGAGACACCAAGCAGCTTGCAACATTATTCGGTCACTCATTTTATCCCCACAACAACCTTGTGAGGTATATTGGGCTGTGAGAGGGTGACTGGCTTACTTTCCCCCATGTTTTTCCTGAAAGTCCACTGACATGTAGGATTACCAGTGAGCTTCCATGTCAGAACAAGGATTTGAACCTGGGTCTTGCAGATCCTAATCTGACATCCTCACTACTAAACAGAAGATATAAAAATAAATTTTAAAAAGTTGTTGATGCAATTCAGAATCTGGTAATTGGGACTGAACTGTGGGAAACACAAACATTAATTTAAAATATCTTTCTAGGCCTCATGCTGCAAAGATAAACTTGAAAATATATGGACAATTTTTTCTAAATGCTTTGAATTACATGAGTAATGGAAATTCTTCATTCTTGGAGTTGCAAGCATTTAGAAATTATCAATGACCTTGTTTCAGTTGCTGGGACTATCCCCCAAATAGTCTCAGAAACATGTGCTCAAGATAGGGTTGCCAAGTATAGCTTACCTCCGCAGCGGGGGACTCCCGGGTGGATCCCGGAGCGTGCACGCGCCGCATGCACGTCACCAGGAAGTGATGTTATGACACCGGGCACACTGTGGGCAGGGCCACGACCATTCGAGGGGAAACCGTAGAGTTTCCCCTCGGATGGTCGTGGCCCCGCCCCCAGCATGCCCGGTGTCATAACGTCACTTCCTGGTGACGCGCACGCCGGGGTGGGGTTCCCCCCGGGGCCCGATTCCGCGGCGGCGGAAATCACGCCTCCAAAGCGGGGGTTTACTCACCCCCCACCCCCACTTGGCAGCCCTAGCTCAAGATAGAGTCCAGAGAAATCCTAAAACAGATTCTTCCCCATAGGGGTTTTATAATCCCCCCGACCTTGAAGTTCTATAGCTAAAGTGTAATCAAAGCTATTGTCCTTCTTCTGGCTTGATCCTTTTACATTTCCGTGGGACTGAATACTTGGAAGGTCACACTCAGTCCTTTTTCTCTTTCCCCCCAGCCAACAAAAGGTGCTTTATAAACTATGAGGCTGCATGGGTGCAACCCCATTACAATAAACCTTGATATAAATTTTAACACATTTAGTAATTCACTTTCAGCCTGGCCTACCTGACAGAGTTGTTCTGAGAATAAAATGGAGGGAAGGAGAACACTGTAAGCCATTTGGGGTCTCCATGGGGGGAAAAGATGGGATATAAATTGAAACATGACAGAAATACTAGCAAAACATAAATCTCATCTTATTTTATTTCATACATGTATAGGCTTGGATGCTATGAACAAGCTCTGCATGTGCTGAGCACAGGGCTTTGCCACTGAGGTCACTTCCTCTTTCGCTGGCACTTCTGTTCGTGCAAGAGCTCCATGAAAACCATTGAACTTATACAAACAGAAGTTCTAGCTGAAGAGGATGTGAGCTTTGCAGCAGAGGTTGTCTATGTGCAAAGAACTTATTCATAGGTCCCAACCTTAAGCCTTCTTTGTTTCTTTGCCTGTGCAAGTTGTGAATACCTGTATAATTATGTCTGTTTCCCCCCCATAGTGGTATGCACAAAGTTACCTGTGCTGAACATAGTTCACCTGGCCCACCAGTATCAACGTATGCTGCTTCTGTCATGCCTTCTAGCACTGGAACCCAGCCTGATACCCTTTCTCCCAAATCAATCACTATGTCTCCTCCACTTCTGACCACACCTACAACACACTCTCCTGCTCCCACTCAGATGAAAAGTACACTTCTTCCTTTCACCAAACAAACCTCAGTGGTCCTTCCTTCTCCACCTCCTACAACATCTACCATACCAGTTGTTCTGTCTACTGTTCCTTCTTTTGATGTAACAACTCCAGTCCTTTCTACTGTATTGTCTACCAAACCTGCTACTGAAACTTCTCTGGCAAACCAGCCCATCATACCTACTACTGAAGTATCCCACACTACATCTTCTGCCGAACCTACAACAGCAGTTTTGCCAGCTACATCTTCCCCCTCATCTGCCATGAACAGCACTTTTGACATGCATTCCAAAACCAATTCAACTGGAAATCCAGGTAAATGCATTCCAGGTAAGCTTGAGATAGTGATGTTGTTATTTGGAGCAACTTTCACGTAGCTGCATCCTAAATAGCTTAACATGTAAACCAGATACTAGTGGAAAACAAAGGAAGGAATTCAGAGTGATGTCATCGATGAAGCAGGAACCTGGGACAGGGCATTTTTAAAGAACTGGAGGCATTTATTCAGGACATCTGATTCATGCATACCATACACTGGGATCCTGCACTGTCTCCAATTGGTTTGCATGATAGAAGGGGGCCATCTCAGAGCATGCTCTTTGCTTCAGTCAAGGTGTAATGATGGCATGACATTTCCCAGGCCACATCATACCTAGAGGAAAGGTGTGATATAAATGTTTTAATAAATAAATAAAATCATACCTCCTTTTCTGTGATGTCTCCCAAACTTTTGATTTGGTGCTAAAGCGGTAAGTTAGGGTAACAGGAGAAAGCCCTATGCAGGTGTGCCTTGAAACCAACATGAGCAATACATTCTTTTTAAGACATCAGAACATAGCATAGTGTTTTCATTTTAGATTTACAATACTAATATTAAGTATGACGTCCATTAATCAGGATTGTGGTTGAGACAAAAAAAGAAATAAACTAGTTTCAACATAATGCTTCATTTTCATGTTTCTAATTCTTAATCCCCTTGGTGTATACATAAACGTACGAGTGGCTAATATCCTGGTGTATTTTTCTACTTTCCCTTGCAGAACAAATATTTCCCAATGTCACCAATGGTATTAATTCTTCCTCTGTTGAGACCATAATAGCTGAAATGGAGAGGGCATTGTCTGCAGATAAAATAGAACAAAAGCATGCTGAGGAGATGGTAAACACAATTAGTAAACTCCTGGATAATCCCCAATTGCAAATATCTTCACTGTCTAAAAGGTATTTCTTTTTGTAATTTGGTGAACATCTGTGCTTCTCATCCTGATATGATTTCGTTGTACATGGTTGTGATAGGAGAAAACACTCAGGCATGCATTTTCTCTTTCATTTGAAATGTAAAATCTTTTTACTGAAACCAGCATCTTGTGGTCACAGCAATGGATCCTTCTAGTAGCTTTTGATTATAGACTTCAGAATGTTGATACTCTTCTGAAACTACAGAGATGAAGCAAGCAAAAATCCATATTAATAACTGTGAATTGGATCTAAGTATCCTTTCAATGGAACAAGTTCATGGAAGAGATTTTATCACCTTCCTCCTCACCCAGTAGCCCTTGCATCCCACAGAAGCTGTTGAGGGTCAGGGAACATGACAGATTGTTCCATGACCATTGCAATGGCTTTTTTGGGGGGGGGGGAGCAAAGGACTGTTGGAGGAAGTGGTGAACAGTGCTTCTGTAACCTCCATTCATGGTAGCTTACAATAACTTAACTTACAATAACTTCTACTTAACAAATTGAACTTGTATAAGGAATCTTCTTTCTGTTTTTTGTCTTTTTGTTAGCATTTCTACACTGTCCTAGGCACCTCACCCCAAATAAGAACATGAGACCTCAAGAATGGGTTTAACTAGTTTGTTTAAATGGCTGATCTACTTCATAATCTATTAAAAATGCTAACATATTTTAAGGGGCAGGCTGCACTAGCCTTACCATGGGCATGTGTACCCTAGCTCCAAACATGGCCCAGCTATTATGCCAGCCTTGTTTATCGCCACCAGTGTATATAATGTGCTGAGGTGCCAAGATTCATCACCCTCCCCTAATGCGCCATAAACCACTACCGGGTTTGAGAATGATGCTGCTCAGCACCAAGGCCCTCCTTCCTTAGGCAATGACCCTCCATCATGCCCAATGCCATCCAGTGTTTGCCATTTCTCCCAGCTCTCCTGAGGAACCAGTGCTGCTGAACTAGTTGGGGCCTAGCCACTTGATCAATCAGGTTTATTTATACCCGCCTCCTAGGTACATCATGTAGCAGGCAAAAAATGAAGCAAATGCCTGTGAGGGCATGCTATCTGTTCAGGAAAGGGGGCTGTGACAACCAGCCATGAACATCTATGGAAGTATTTCTTATGAAATGTTTGCACTTCTTTCAAAACCTGTTACAGAAGGAATAAATTAGTTCCATATGATCTTTTATATTTTCGCTCTATTTTTAAAGTTCCTTAGTTATAGATTTGTGATCAGGTTTCAAATAGGCATATAAAGATTTGTGTGCTTTTGGTGATGATTATATAGCACTCAAAAAGGCAATATGTTATCTTTTGCATTTTTACCTTACTAGAATAATAAAAATAGTGGATGCAATTGGCTTAAAATTGAACTTTGCGGCAGAATCCATTGATTTGACATCCCCTTCCCTGGCTCTGGCCGTTCTGAAGATCAACAGCAGTTTCTTCAATGGTGTTTCTTTTGCTGTTGAAGATTCCTCAGACCTTCAGGTAAGCCAAGGGTTTTATTTAGGGGTTTTTTCTTCATTTCAATTAACTTCCAATAATGGGAATTTGAACACATTTGATACTGCAGTGAAGTCTAAAGTCTAGAAGTACAAAGAAAAATTCAGGATGGAATGTAAGAATGTGAGAAGAGCCCTGCTGGATCAGACCAAAAGTCTACCTAGTGCACATCCTTTTTCCATAGTTACCAAGCATTTACCTCTCAAGAATCCCAGAAAAAAGACACAAAGACCAAGAGTGATTTCCCACAAGCGCTGCTCTGCACTCACTCCTCCTTTTTGCCCCGATGGTACGTGTCAATTTCACACAAGCTGCTACGCAGCCGCATTTTGTCCCGCAGCTTCGTGCGATTTCCCCCGTGTCTACTCAATCCTCAAAAAACAGGATTGAGTAGAGGCGGGGGAAATTGCCCGAAGCTGCGGGGCAAAATGCGGTCGCGCAGCAGCTTTTGTGAAATTGACATGTACCATCGGGCCAAAGAGAAGAGTGAGCGCGGAGCAGCGCTTGTGGGAAATCACCCCAAAAGTCTCAGTAACCCTACACTTATATTGCCTTTGAACATGGAGGTTCCAATCAACCATTATAGCTAGATAGGTCAACCAATGGTCATCCATTTATCAAATCCCACCTTTAAAGCTATCTAAGATGTTGGCCATCACCACATCTTCTGGTTGCAAATTCTATAAGTTAATTATGTGAAGAAGTATTTCATTTTGTTTCTCCTGAATCTACTGCTCCAGTTTCTTTAGATGACCCTGGGAGTTAGATCAAGGATAGGACTTCTGTAGACAGAAGGGGACATTTTTTTTGTTAATTTCCCCTCATGCTGCAGGCCATTGACTTTACTCTCATGCTGTTTTGGGATGGGAGGGGTCCTCTGTCTCTCCCAAGAGCAGCATTTGAGGGGCACTTTACTTCAGCAGGAGGGATGAGGCTAGAAAGTCACACTTTGATGATGCAAATCATCAGCAGAAGTTTCTGGTAGATCCAAACATGAGTTCCAGCATGATAGGAGAGGGAGAGAAATTCTCTGCTCATTTTTTCTACAACAGACAGTTTTATAAACCTCTATGATATTCCCCCTCTTGTTTCTGTATGTTTTTTATATCAGGGCAGGGGGTTCCAGCACCCAGGTCCTCTTCCTTCCCCCAGACTAGCTCTTTTCTCTTCCCACCTGAGCTCAGTCTGTTGCTTCATCCTTGGCCAGGCGTGGTGCCTTCCCTTTTATTGGATTCTCTGGCCCCACCCGCATCTAGCCTATCTCCAGTCTCCTTCTACCTGTTCCACCTGGGAGACGGTAAAAGGAAGCCTTTCCTGCTTCTTCCCCCTGCTTCCTGTCTCCCTGCTGCACTCCTTCCCTTTGCTGCTCAGCAGTGCCTCTTAGCCTCCTTCATTCTGGCCTTCCTCAAATCCAAACTCAGCCTTGCCTTTTGACCACACCCCTCCCTCCCTGTTGCCTAGCTCCCTGCCTTGTTCTCAGCTGTGTTGGAGTGATTTGCCTGTGTCCTAGCCACCTCCCTCTCCTGGACTTCCTTGCCTGCAGTTGCACTTCACATTTGCTAGAAAACAGTATGGCAGGTGCATGGAACACATTTCTACCCCAAGCCAAATTCCAGTGCACCTTAGGGTAGAAAAAAACAAAAAATGTTTTTGTTTGTGATGGCACTGTAGGGATGCCAGCCTCCAGATGGGACTTAGGGATCCCCTGGAATTACAGCTGATCTCCAGACTAAAGTGATCAGTTGCCCCATAGAAGTGCATTGGAGGGTAGACTCTATGGCATTGTGCCCCACTGAGTTTCCTGTCCTCCCAAAGCTCCATCTCCAAACCTCCAAGAGTTTCCCAACCTGGATCTGGCAATCCTACTCCCTGTCCCCCACTGGTTGCTGGGGGGGGGGAGGCTTGCAACCCTAGGTGGCAGAAATAATTGTGTTTCATGTGTTGACTTGAAACAGAATGTATAGATTCATCCCTTTCCTTTAGCATACTGAATAACTCATGCCAGTGTGTACAAAGCTATTTCTTTAAAATTTGGAACAAAAAATAACTATGGTTTGAGCCCAAGATATTAGACAACTAACAACTTTCATGAATCCTAAAAAAAAATATTTTTTAAAAAAAAATCAAAAATTTTCTAATGTTTTTGTTCCTTGGTTTATTCTTCTACTCCACAAATATATTTTGTTTTGTGGTGAAGTAAATATTCTCCATATTGTCAGGAAAGGCTGTATTTCTCCAGAGCACTAAAAACGGTTCTCTGTATCAGAGTTTTCTTAATAAACTCTTGTTGTTGGGTTGGGTTGTTTTTTTATCCCAATATGTTAAATGGGGTTTTTTGTAGCAAACTATCCCAAAGGAAAAATGCATAAATTTGTGGAGCAGTTTTCTACCCTGGGTGCTTTTTAGTTTACAGAAAGCAAACTGTAAATGGTAACTGGCTGTACTTTGGGAACATAGATTACTACTGTACAGTTGACAATGTCCTAAGAGAAAAAGTTGCTTTGAAGTTTCAAAAGAAACATGAGAGATGCTAATTGTGGATCTCCAATGTCACATCTGGAATACAAATACATGTTATGTTACTTCAGTTATCCTTTTGCAACAATTTTTTACACAACACAGCCACTTAAACTGCAATTTTAAGATGGAAACAAGCACATCAGGTTTGGATAGCACAAACTGTTTTCACATTGAAAATTGCTCTCCTAAGATGCTCTTGGCTCTAATGTGGGGAAACGAAGGATTTCCATTAGTGAAGAACAAATTCGGTGCTTCATCTTCCCACTGCAGCCCCCAAACGTGTCTGAGAAGCTGTTCCTGGGGGATAGGGGACCTCTAGGAGGATGGAGATAGAAGTCTGCTGTGGGAAGGAGGGGAGAATTAGTGAAAATTCCCCCACACACACACCGTCTGTGGAAATCCTTTGCAGGATCCAACCCATAGAGAGTACCTGTATGTTTTCCCATCAGAGTAAAAGCAGCTTGAAAAAGGGATAATTTTGGCAGTAAACTAGGGTGTGAGTTAATAGTTACATATTATTTCTTTTCCATGCAGTCCATCCCTTTAAATCTCAATCCTAGCTTCTAGTGTGAATATTTATTGGCCAAACAGAAATATTGCGAATGTGTGTGTATATTCTGGTTGTTCAGTATTTGCACCCTTCATAGCCTCCTTACCACCTAGGGTTGCCAGAGGGGAGGGACCTTAGCAGGGTATAATGCAAAAGAGTCCACCTTCCAGAGCAGCCATTTTCTCCAGGTGAACTGATTTCTTTGCCTGGAGAGTTTATAATAGAGGGAGGTCTCCAGCCATCACCTTGGCAACCATGTTACCATCTCCATGTGTAATGCTCAAGATGTGATATTCCCCATCACCAGCCATCCTGTGGTCAGTTTACTTTATACATAAAAAGGGCTAAATTGGCTCTTAATATACTAAATAAATACACCAAATAGTATTTTTTTTTTTAATTTTTGAAAACAGCTGTTAAGGCTGCTTTTAAAAATGTAGGTCATGAATATATGAAGGCTGGTGTAATGGCTTCCTTTGTCATGAAGTCTGCTTCTGTCTGCGATGCTTCTGTCTGACTTCCTCTGACAGGCATTCTTTTCAGAGAAGGTCATAGAATAATTTGGTGCTCAGTGTTTTTGTGAATGCTAGAAATCTGCTCTTTTTGAAGTTTTTAAAGTTGTCATATTTTTAATTTCATTCTGGAAAACATGGAAGTGGAAATTTAACATTTGCCAACAAAATCTATGAGTGATTCATTAGAAAATGAAATAAGACTTCAGTCGTGATAATGATTTTTGCTGCATGTGTAATTAACTATGGATGACTTGTCAACTAGATTGAGTAGGTCTGAAGATGGAACTGGTTATCCCTGCCTTAGAGCTGATAATTGTCTTCATGGGCTGAAGCATGCACTGTTCAGGGAGGTGTGTCTCATTCTGGTCTACTTACATGCTGGTGCTGTTGTTCAGCTGAACAGGGCAAATCATACAGCCAGTCTCCTTTATTTTGCACCCAGAGTTATTTTGTCTCTCTCTTTTTTAATAAACAGGTTGCACTAGGAAATCAAGTTCCTACAAATAGCGTTGGAGCCATTTCACTCCCATCATCAATAACAACAAATTTGTCAGCTAAAGACAGGAATTTGGCTTCTAGAATTATATTTAATTTTTATGAGAAGACAACTTTGTTCCAGGTAATCTTTATTCAGTCCAAACAGTTCATATTCACTACAGTGTATTGCTTCTGGCTCTCCTGTTGCAGTCCAAATATATCCAACTCAATCAATTAATAAGGTTTATTTTAAAACCTCAGGATCCCTCATTGAACAACGCATCTCTGATCAGCAGTGTTATATCATCAAGTGTTGCTAATCTCACAGTTACCAACTTGAAGACAAATGTCACTGTCACGCTAAAGAATACCAAGCCAAGCCAGGTATGACTGGAATTTTGATAGATCAGAAACTTCTGGTATTTGCCTCATTTAAAATTTGTTTTAGGCTGATCTCTTCCTGCTAATGTCTTGTGCAACATTTAAGTTTTTCTTCTCCAACATTAAATGTTTCTTTTCCACTTAAACACCTGAATGTTCTTAATTTACCTGAGATTAACTAATGAGCTACTTTAAAGTTAAAGTGGGATGCTTATATTTATTTAGGATAATACTGTAGAGTGTTCCTTGTTCTCCCCTATTTTCCTTTTGATCTGTTGATTCTGGAAAGCCATATTGATGGGACGAGTAAACTAAAGCAAAGGGCCAGCCTTCGTAGACCATGTATACTTCAGAGGACCCCTTTTGCAAGGGTGCATGAACCCCTGTAAATAGCTCCTTCCTGGACAGGACATTCTTTCTCCAGGTGTCTTGGGAACACCAGGCAAGCAAGTACTAGAACGCCCACTTTAACATGCAGTGCTTGTTACATGTACAAGTAGGGAAGACAAGAGGCCAAAATAGAGCAAAAAGATAAAGCAGTGGCTTATAACTAACTATTCGAGTGGGCTACTGGGGAAAGATCCAGATGTTATCTACAACATCTGAGCAGCCAGTAAAGGCAACAGATAAATCCAGAGGGAAAGGCACAGCAAGACTTCACATAGCAGGATCCAGCAGAGGCTATGCATGCTATCGAGGCCCAAAGGCAGTAATCTGATTAATGATCTAGAGAAGTGAGGAGGAGTAATAGAACGATAACTTACTTGTGACAGCAACACGTAACTTCCACAAGTGCCACACAGAGAATACACAGAGTGATGCCAGAAGAAATGCACAGAAACCTCAACTTGGAAAAAAGATTCAGGCTTTAGTTATAGAGTTATAAGTTTGAATACACAAAGATCCCTTTTCCCCAGACTTGGAGAAGTGGAGAGGACTCTATGAGATCCAACCAGCATAACCGTAAACTACGGGGGGTGGCCCCTCAGGGGCTGGCCCTCTCGAAATTTTCCAGGGAGAACTGAGCTTCCCCTGGGGCAACCAGTGCCAGCCAGTGTTCCGGCTAAACTGATTCCCACTCCTCCGGCCACACAGCCCGAGAAGAAGGCGTACGAAAGGGCCCGGTCCACTCGCCCCTTGGCCTGGGCAGGGCAGCCTGACTGGCTTTCTCTCCCCCTGCCCAGCTCCCGCTCATCCCCACCTCCTCCTCCTCTGGCCCAGGCTCAGGGGCGAAAAGGACCCACAGCAAACTTGGCGGGCGGCTTGGTGGAGCGCACGCCAGAGTCTCAGGGTTGCCCACCCTCACTGCCTGCTGGCAGGTTGTTGACACCGTCCACCTCAGGTAATTGTGACACCACAGCCGCCTCCTGTCGCGGAGCTGGCTCACCTCAAACGCTTGCCGGCCAGAGGGATGCGCCGCTTTCTGGTCCCCGCTTTGCACGTCAGCAACTGCTGCAGGCATCATGGGAGGCGGCTTAGCCCTCCTCCTGCCCGCTCTGCCCGTGGGTCTCATGGCAGGGCCATGGGGGGAGTGCCTTGGAGGTGCCCATGAAGAGCCCCAGACTTGCAAGGGGGCGGCAGCAACTCTGGCCCAGCCCCAGCCCTCCCCCCCGGGAAATGGGAAAATCTATGCCCTTGCCAACCAGTACACTTCCCGTTTGGCAGAAGGTAAAGAGGAGTTAGGTTTCCAAGTTCTGGGAACATTGGATCATTTAAACATTCCCCCAGTATCGTAGGATTTGCTCATGTCTGGGAGAATGACAGGACACCTGATTTCCATGTATTTTCCTATGTGAATGCTCACCGTTAGAAGCAAGGCGCTTTTTTGGAAAAAGAGGTGCTAGAATTCTCAAGAGGGAAATGAAGTTTTCAATCTGTATACTGAAGACTCATGAACTTTTAAACATTTTAAAAAGAATTTTGTGAAAGAGGTTCCAGAACTCTGTTCCAGTGTGTTCCCCCAGAAAAAAAAACCTAGAAGCAATATATTTTACAAGCACTGCAGGGTCAAATGTATATATAATCTCATCTGAAAGTGATAGTGCAGATGAGCCCTAGGTATGATTTGCAAATCTGCAAAAAATTCCATGGGAAATAAGAAATAAAAATTAAACTCTCAAGTACTCACTTTAGCTCTAATCAAAGGCAATAGAAGTATCCTTCATTTCACTCTTTTTGGTCTTATTGTGACTTTTACTGTTTAATGTAGAATTGGCACTATAAAGCATGTAAGTGACACAGTTCTTGTGCAGAGAGTTTATAACCTACATTAGACAAGACAAAAATCCAAAGAGAGCAGCTGTTAATAAAGGATCAAGAATGAAGATGGGACGAAGGACTCAGTAGCATTGAAGGGGCTGGCAGGGAGAGGCTATTGGAAGTGAACAGACTCATTCAGAGGCAAATGTAGTGTTTTGATTTTATTGTCCAGCATGTAATACTTGGTTGATTTCACAGTAACACAAAGATAGTTAAATCATCTTTGTTTTCCCCCTCAAACAGGAGAATATGACTGTCAGATGTGCATTCTGGGACTTTACTAAAAATGGTATGTCCATGTGGCCATGACTTGTTAGTTGCATTGTCTTTGTATAATAGTTTAAAATTGTACCATTTACATTCTTCTGTTTAAATAATGGAAACTTTTCATTTCTGCCAGGTGGCAAAGGAGGCTGGGCCTATGAAGGCTGCATGGTTAAAGACAGAAGAACAAATGAAACAGTCTGTAGCTGCAACCATCTCACAAGCTTTGGAGTTTTACTGGTAACACTTTCTCAGCAGCCCCTTATGTTTCCATGTTTTGGGAGTGGCCTGGGGCGAGGCATGAAGTCAAAAGCCTTGCTTCTCACAGGGCAGAACTGTGTTAATTGCAAGGTTCTCTGGATTGTACCTAGGCTCCAGCATAATAGTGCTACAGTCTTAATATCCTGGGTTTGTATATGGGAGAGAACTAGTTTTGTTCAGTTTCTCCCCCCTAAGCACACCCAGAGCCGGAGCAAATGTAATGTTCCCTAGTTCTTTAATCATATGTACCCAATTGGGAACGCCATGCATCCTTCCTCACATCCATAGTGGCTCTCCCTTTCCTTCTGCAGAGACATTTACTATCCATGATTAATTTTAAGACAAAGCTTTTAAGCCAGTTTCAGTTTTGGTTTAAAGTCAGCCATGGTTAGGGTGAGCCTCAGTATGCTGGCAAAAGAAAGGAGGGGGAATTCACCTCAAAGAAATGTATATGTTACAATTAACCATAGTTAAGAGTTTGAAAACTGCTATGATTACACCAGGCCAGATAACACACAAACTAGGACAGTGCCCATGTGTTGTCTATCAACCTCAGGAGTATGACCTACATGCTGAATTTCACTTGAATTGTTTTCAGGACAGGCATGTTTCATAATTCATAAAACCCCATGCAAGTTACTTAATTTTTACATTTAAATAGATCTTTAAGACTATTTTCTAAAAACCTCTGTCTCACAAAGTTAATGCTATTTGGTATAGTTCTTAGAGCATCAAGACTACGATCTGGGAGACTGTATCACTAAAAGGCAATGGCTCTTTTTCCCTTAAAAGGATTCAGAGGCAGTAGGCGCTAAAGTGGGGTGGGAGTGGAAGACAATTACAGGAAGAAATAGAAAACACAGTCATGCTTACTCCTTTGCAGCTGTTGGGAGCTCCCCGCAGAATTGACAGCAGATGAACCCCCTGAAATTGGCTGACACATGGTACCTTCCTTCCCCAGTCTCAGCCTACACTGAGGCTCTCCACTAGGGCTTTGCCCCAGACTTATATATTATCTTATATGCACTGTGATTACACCTGTAGTTTGAATTCCCACTGCCAGGATCTGGGTCCCCGCCCTGACTTGAAAGCCCCCATCCAGTGAGGCGCAGTTGGTGGAGCAGCCAGGCAAAGAGACAGTAGCAGTTCAGGGGGATGAAGCTATCCCTGCTGCTGGAGCAGTGGGACCGTGGAGGAACCAGAAGGAGGCAAACAGGGTGTGGCTGCGCCTGAGGCCCTTGCTGCTGAAGTCATTGGTTGGCTTGCCAAAAGTCTTGCCAGCCAAGTAAAATAAAATATGTTGTGCTTTATGACAAAATCAAACAAGAGGTCTTGTTGTGTTGTAAAAAGAATTATGACAGTCCTTAAGGTGCTACTGGACTCTTGCTCTTTTCTACTGTTACAGACAGACTGGGACACAGAATGTCCTGTCACAAAAGACGTTGAGAGATATCTACGTCTAACCACATTGCAGTGTTTGAAATACCTGCTGTGTTGCATTCCTGTTAATTCACATGTGGACTTAGTAGGAATGCCAAATGGCATGGAGAATAATGTTCTGTCCTTTCAATAGTGACTTAATGTGTGAAAATGAAGATTTTCATGGCATGGAGGTACATAAGATCACCTGATAAATTGTATCCCATTAAGTGTGTTTTAAAGGGACATAACATTTTTTCTTCAAACCTGTTGGCAACAGTAGAGTTTGGGAGGTATATGTATTTGCTATACAGTTTCCAAAAGGAAACAACGTCCTATCTGTTGCGCTGAGGCCCAAGGCAAAGCCTTTAAGAAAAAAATTCACCTTCTACCAGTAGCAAGGCTTATCTGCTACATATCTGACTAGATGGGAAAGGCTTATCTGCCACATACTTGACTGGATGGGAAATTTCTGCCTTCATGTAGAAAGAGGAAGTCTGATGTAATCTTTTAAAGACAGAAAATATCACATTTTCCCTAGAAAACAAGCATATCTGCATAACTGAAGTGCTGATTATTATGGCTCTAGCAATTTATGTAGGCTGTGATTTTTAAACAATTTTTTCATGATTAAAACCTATTTTTGTTTTCTGTTCAGGACTTATCAAGAAATACCACTCTGTCTCCCATCCAAGTGCTGGTTTTGACTTTTATCACTTATATAGGCTGTGGTCTTTCTGCAATTTTTCTTTCTGTTACCCTTGTTACATATATTGCATTTGAGTAAGTATCTACTCAGTTCAGATTATTTTAATATCTTTTATAATTTAGGTCACTTTGAAGAAGTATAGTCTTTTTGAAGAAATTATGCTGCATTGGGGCATCAATATTTTGTTTTACCTGAAGAGAGTAACAAAATAAATAAAGACATAGCAAAACTATGCTGCATTATAATAATTCTGTGTAATCCTGGAAAGAGTGTGTTCCAGGATTATTTGATGTGTTTCAGCAATGTTTGAAATATAAACCTTAATTTGTAACATTTTCACATGGTGTCGCTAACAGGCTTGGTGAAAAGTGTTCTATCCCTTTAACAGAGGCTTATTGGATGTTATATACTACTAGGATATATTATTTACCTCCAGGGCTTTTTTTTTGTAGAAAAAGCCCAGCAGGAACTCATTAGCATAATAGGCCATACCCAACAGCAGAAACTCATTAGCATATTAGGCCACACCCCTGATAGCACAGCTCATTAGCTTATTAGGCCACACCCCCATGTTACCAGAAGTATGGTTATCCAGCCACACCCACCTTTTGCTTCTTATTCTTTTTACCTTGTTTGTGGTCAAAACCCAGGGGTTTTTTTTGTAGCAGGAACTCCTTTGCATGTTAGGCCACACACCCCTAATGTAGCCAATCCTAATGAGTTTCTGCTGTTGGATGTGGCCTGTTAGGCTAATGAGCTCCTGCTGGGTGTGGCCAACTCAGGAGCCAGCCGGAACTTCGTTCCTGTGTGTTCCTGCCCAAAAATTGCCCTGTTTACCTCCATGCCATGAAAAGATGCAGTTGCCTATTTCTATCCGTTAAGTTTCTATTAAAGGAACAGGATTTTTTCTTCAGGCTTTTTGGCAACCCTTTTTCCACATGAGCAACAGGTCAGGAGCAGCTCAGGGTTTCATGGTCTTCATGACAATGATGGGCCTCTTTCAAGTAATAACAGGCTCCCCCACACTGCAGGTTACCCTCATTATCTGGTGTTTTGCTCTGAGCAGGGAGAAGATGATCTGAAGGTGTGGTTGAGTTTGAGGACTGTCTCCTTGTCATGGACAGTTCACTATTTCTGGGGTTTAATCTTCCCAAGCCTCAGCAGCGGTGGGAGATCAATGATCTGCCCCCACTGGTGTGACAGACTACATTTAAAACACTGTTTTCCTAATGCAGTAAAATCAGAGAAGGGAGTTGAATAGTTAACTCTGCCCTAGAATGTTGAGCTTGGGTGGCAGGGTGCTCCTTTTCTCTGACTGGCCAGCACCAGCTGAGGGAAATATAAAAATCAGCTGTGTGCTGAGGAGAGAGATAGTTAGTTTTGAGCTCAGGAGCAGATACTGTTCGGTAAAGTAAAAGTTCAGCTTACATGAGTGGATGTTTTACGAGTCTGACTAAAAGTCAGAAGGATAGAATAGAATTGAATAGAAGGAGAGACTGCTGGTCTTAATTGTGTTCAACATAACCTGAGAAGAATTCCATCTAAAAATTCAGAGTCTAGTGTCAGCTAAAGCTGAAGTACGTTTTCACACAGATGCCAAGTGACTGGGTAGCAGGCTGAAGCTCGCAATCAGGCCAAAAGGAATAGGGCTATATTTTCAGGAAAGAAATATAAGTCCTGTCCAGTTATACAGGAAATTGGCACTGAGGCAATCCCTGGTCTGTTGTGAAAATAAATGGTGATACACTACTCAGGAGAAAGAAGACACATTGTGATTTCAGAAAGGGGAGAATAGTCTAATACACTAAAAGAGTGACCTTTACAGAAAACCTGAACAGTTATTAGGAAACTATATGCAGAAACATTGTAACTGAAACAAAAGTACTTAGTCAACCAACTCTCACTGATAAGAACCAAGAATTTGTAAAAATAAGCTGCTACAACACCATCTTGTCTATCAACTGAAAAATATATGGTTTTACCAACAATGTTTACCTCAGCCTTTCCAATACCTAACTACCGCATACCATCCCTGCCTATTAAATAAAATCTTTATTATTGTTCACTGTTACACAGGCTCCAGTGCCATTTTAAGTGATCTAAAAAGAGGGATCCTATTTTCTCCTGACAAGTTCCTGGGCTGGGCAAAAGCCAAATTAGATTCAGTCAAAGGGTGGGACATTCCAATTTATAAAGCTGCAAATATCATGCTACTGGGGGGGGGGGGCTAGCTCAGTACCTGAAGGGTACTAAGAATTTTGGCAGGAAAAATCTGCCTCGGACTTCTGGGCTTTGGCGCTTTAAAGATGGCCACATCTTCTCGCAGCTCCAAGAGACGTGTGCCATGAATCAGAGGATAGGAGGGGGAGCAATATTTTGTGCTCTCCATGGAGCCCTTGTGAAATGGGCTTCTAGCCAGGGGGCTTCTGGAGAGTCCTTCCTTCGGCCGACAGCCAATATAGGGGGGCTACTCTCTGCCCTGAAGGTCCTGCCCTGATTCCCAGCATTGGACTCAAAGCGCACGCCGGAACAAGCGTATGGAGGTTTGGCGATTTAACTCTGCCCAGCGAGATCCCAGGGAGACCTGCTGGATCGTCCTGAAGACTGATGAGTGAGTTAAAGTTGAAGCGAGATATCGAAGCCCTGATGCGAAGCTCCTCCAATACAAGCGGGAGGCGGGAGGGGACGCCCTACCCCTTAAACGACCTAATGAAGCAGAAACACAAGGGGGGGGACTGAGCATGCAGTGGCATGGATTATAACAGAAAGATGAGCAGAGAACTTTTCAAAAAAATAAGCGTTTACAGACCTCTGAGACTTTGGCAACTTTGTTCAGTAAATGTAAACATCCCCCCAAGATGGCGATCGGAGACTTTGAGGAAGGCAGTACCCAAGCTTTCCTCAGGAAGAAGGAGATCAGAGGGTTAGGTCAGGTGACCTAATCATTGATTCTTCCTACAGCTCAAAATTGCTCACCCTCTGCTGGCTAACGCGGTGTACTGGACGGAACCAGCTCTAAATGTTGCTGTACTTTTAAAGGGACAGTGTCTATACCAAGAAGCAGTGAATCTTTGATCACAGAGGAAATTAAGACTGAATGGAGACTCTAAAGTTTAGCTTATATTGGATAGTTGCAGGCAGATTAAAAAGCGATTTCAGAGCAAAGGGCTTGGCCACCCTTTCTTCATAAAATCTGCCTACAAAATGAACGGTCGGATTCTCCAACCAGCATGTGTTGGAAGCAACAAAAGGAAGGACCCCTATAATCTAAGACAAGCAAGAAAGTGAATGAAAGTCCTGGGGAAAGCGGTATTAATTGGACAGAGCCTGTTATATTGAAGCTGATAGTGAAAGAAGATTTAACAGAGAAGGAAGAGGATAAATCTGTGTGATTATATAGACTGAGGGAACCTTGGCTCCACAACGTTATATCTGTGTGGGGGGGAAGCATATAGGGAGATGTCGAACTTTTTCGAGGTCTATATCCTTGTTAATTAGCTATGGAATTACTCTGTCTAGCCTGATAAGCTGGTTTCGACAACTGAAGTGATGATTGATGATACTCCTCATATCTGAAAGTAATTGTTAAGAGTAACAAATCTTTTCTTTAAGCAGTTTGTAACCTTCAACACTTGGGCTTTTAGTGCCTGCTTTTTCTTTCTCCCATAGCTTGTAGTTTCCCCTCCCCTTTTTGTTGTAGTTTTGTAGTTTTTTTAGAAATGCAAATTTAAAAAATCCCCTTCGGGGGGCCAAAGAAAAGAAAAGAAAAGAAAAATCTGCCTCACGGTGAAGAAGAAACAGTGAAGATAAGCATGTCTCCTTGTCATGGACAGTTCACTATTTCCGGGGTTTAGTCTTACCAAGACTCAACAGCAGTGGGGGATCAGTCATCTGCCCCTACAGCTGGATGGATCTGACTGGTTTTCAGATAGCATTACAGGATTTTCCTGTTGATATGGTCAGTGCTCCTGTCGATGTTCTGGTTGACCTCTGGAATGAAGAAATAATCAATGCAATTGATGTGATTGCTCCTAGGTATCCTTTCTTAGGTCTAAGAGCCTGGGTAGCTCCTTGGTTCACTGAAGGGCTGTGGATGGTGAAAGACAAGGGATGATACAATGACAGTGTAACAAATCAGATAAGGCACAGGATAGAGCTTATTTTAAAACATATTCTGTGGCAGTGATGGCAGCAAAGAAATAGTATTTCTTTGCCACCACTGCATCTGCACAGTGTAGACCTGTGAATCTCTTCTGGATGGTCAGGGGCCTTTTGAGTTCTGGCCTACAGGAAGAGGGGGCTGTTCTGCAGCCTGCTGCAATCATTTTGTGAAACACTTTGCAAATGAAATCTCTTGCATGCATTCCAACTTGGACTCTGCATTAAGTGTAACAGGATCAGATGGTTCCAGGGTGCTGACTTCCAGTTGTGTGGGATACCCCTTACCTGTTCAGTCTGAGGATATGGACAGGGTTCTCGGAAGTTTGAGATCTACCACCATCTTGAATGACTCTTGCCCCTCCAGGCTGCTTAAATCTACTGGAGGGAGCTGGTGGCCCGTGCCCACGAGACAGTAAATGCCTCCTTGAGAGGGGGTGGCCCCCTTTGCCTTGAAGCGGGCAGTGGTGCATCCACTCCTAAGGAAACCTTCTTTGGCCTAGGAGAGTTAAATAATTACTGTCCAGGCTCAAATGGATCATTCTTAAAAAAGGTGATTGAGTTGATTCTGACTGGAAGCATTGGGGTTCCTGAATGATGTGGATTATTTGGATCCATTCCAATCCAGTTTCAGGCCTGGTTATAGAACTCGTGATAACCTGCATTGGGAGATGGACAGGGTGAGTGCGACCCTGTAAATTCTCCTTTCGGACTGCCTTTTGTGGTTGGAACTGGAAGTACTGTGTTGTAGTGGTTTTGGTCCTACCTTGAAGGCAGGTTTCAGAGTATGGCACTGGAGGACTGATGCTTGGTCCCTTGGCCTCTGACTGGTGGGCTCCCACAAGGTCCTATCTTGTCCCTCGTGCTTTTCAGCATCTGTGTCAAACCACTAGGAGATGCAATCTGGAGATTTGGGCTGAGTTGCCACCAGTATGTGGATGACACTGAGCTCAATCTCATTCTTCCAGTAGATCCCAGGGAAGCTGTGGTAACTGTGAACAGGTGCCTGGAAGCAGTTTTGGTACAGATGAGGGCTAACAAGCTGACACTTAATCCTGATAAAACAGAGGTGCTACTGGTGGGGGAAAGTTTGACCCAGGAATTGAGATGCCTCTTGTTCTGAATGGGGTTACACTCCCGCAAAGGAGCAGGTTTATAGCCTGGGGCTGCGGCTAGACCTAGGGCTTCTGTTGGATTAACAGGTGGCAGCAGTGGCCAGGGGCACCCTTCACCAGCTTTGGGTGGTGAACCAGCTTCTGCCATTCCTAGGGAGGAAAGATAATCTGTCTCCCTCTGTCATTGTCTTCTGCCAGCAGGTGAAGACTTTGTTTAATTTGGCATACCCCAAGTAACTCATTTTCCCTCATCCATTTGTGTGTTTATATGTGTTCATGTGTTTTAAATATTTTATGTATCTGTTTTAAACACTGGTTTAGTATTTGAAATATATTAATTGTTTTATCATTCATCACCTTGAGGTCCCTGATTTGGGTGGAAAGGTGGCATAGAAGTGGTTTTTAAATAAATAAATAATTGTAAAATCAGCAAGTTAATTCTTATTTATATAGACCAAAAAGTTGTTATTTTAAAACAATGAAACACAGTATTTTCTTCATAAGTATTAATGTTATGATCAAGCGTACAGAGTAGTCTCGCAATAGAAAATGTAATGTGCACATTATAATGTCACTGAATTTAGCAGATATCATATGGCCTTCGAACTGCACATGAAAATGGCTGTTATTAGTATTTGAAATGGACAAGTGGTAATACCTGATATTCAAGTATAATAACTTACAATATTTTATTTGCTTTTATAGAAAAATTCGAAGAGATTATCCTTCTAAAATTCTTATTCAACTGTGCGTTGCATTACTTCTACTGAACTTAGTTTTCCTCCTGGATTCATGGATTGCTTTGCATCATATCCGAGGACTGTGCATCTCAGTTGCTGTGTTTCTTCATTATTTCCTCTTGGTTTCTTTCACTTGGATGGGGCTTGAAGCCTTCCACATGTATCTTGCCCTCGTCAAAGTGTTCAATACCTATGTTAGGAAATACATACTGAAGTTCTGTGTTGTTGGCTGGGGTATGTATGCATATTTTAAATAAATATTGGTTTATCTCTCTAATTCATTCTGTGGATAAAGGGACCGTTATATCCAAAGCAATATGGTGGATACTGTTCTGGAACTGATTCATGCCCAGGAGATTTAAGTTCAAATAAACTTCAGACATAGGCTGGCCTGAGACAAGTCACTTTCTCCTTAAGCTCCTTGAAGGAAATACTGTAAGCAAATGTAACAAATGAAATGCATTTAAGTACTTCCCCCCACCCCAACTCATTTAGAAAAACTGCCATACCTTGCTTGCCTTTTGTAAAGTTAATTGAGATAATGCATTTGAAGTACTTTGAACACTTAAAACAAACTATGAAATGTTTGCTGTTACAGGTGAGTTTTCATCCCCAGGTCATTCTTTATAGCTTTTCATTGTCTTTTATGATGTGTGATGTGCACTGTATTCAGGTTGATACTTCTGTGTTAGCTTATTAATCATAATAATTTTAAGCAGTAATCTGTGTACATTATCACACAGGTAGAAACGGTGTGTTGAATCAAATGCTTCCACTAAGTGAGCAGTCATTCTCCATTGGAGGAACATTACACGCTTAGCAGAAGGAAGTGCTTGGCTCCAATTCACTACATATACTTGCAAGCAGATTTATTCAGTTTATTGATTAAATTTAATATGATACTTCTTTTATCTTAAAATAATCACATAGGAGAGAATGCCTCTCCCAGGATGGTGCTTGCCACCTTCAATTTTTAAATAACCATTTAATTAAAAAAAAGATCTGGTATACTGTTTTTGATCAAAAAGTTATTTAATTTAACTAATTTATTAAGTAATAATTGCAACCTTACTTTTTTCTCTTTCAGGTGTCCCAGCATTAGTAGTAGCTATTGTATTGGCAATAAAGCCAGATAACTATGGGCTTGAATCATACGGAAAGTTCCCCAATGGCTCATCTGATGAATTGTAAGTCAATACTGTAAATGCACTTTTTTGATTCATTGTTACAATGATAAAGGACTACCTTAAGCCTACTGCAAATCTGATTCAACAAGTGGTTTAAAAAAATCATGCATGCATGCAATATTTTCCCTGGTTAATAATTTAATGTGCAGTTGATGGAGATATATTTGATTTTTGTAATGCTCATCAGAACTGCAGTCTATGGACAAAATCCAGAAACAACCTGTAGGATGGTGTGTGCAAAACTCTCCAAGGCTTGAATGTTACAGAACAAATTGTGACTTTTTGCCTTTCAGGCTATGTGTTGTATCATTTTTTAAAATCATTATGCTTTTAACTGATATTTTCTTTCTTTTTTGCTTTCTCTCTGTTATATTTTTTTAGTTGCTGGATTAAAAATAACATTGTCTTTTACATTACCGTTGTGGGATACTTCTGCATAATATTCTTGTTGAATATCAGCATGTTCATCGTAGTGCTGATTCAACTCTGCAGAATCAAAAAGAAGAAACAACTTGGTGCCCAGCGAAAAACTAGCATTCAAGATCTCAGGAGTGTTGCTGGCCTTACCTTCTTATTGGGAATTACTTGGGGATTTGCCTTTTTTGCATGGGGTCCTGTAAATCTTATATTTATGTACCTCTTTGCCATCTTCAACACCTTGCAAGGTATGTATTGCTGGGTTTATAAAAGCAATTATATAATCCAAAGAATACTTCTAGTGTTACGGACAACTATTATGGACAACACACTAAGCATTATAAATTAAATTATTGAAAAGTTTATGAAAATGGTTCATTAATGGTATCTATCATTGTGGAGGTAGGCTAAAATCTATAATGCCATTGCAGGTACATGCTGATTCTGTAACTCACAGTTTGTAGATTTTCTGTCTATATGGGGTCTTGTCCGTGGGCTAATAAATTCTGAAGAATGATTGCTGGCTTGTCAAAATCTGGTATGAGTATAAAGGTCCCATTAAGACATCTTACTGAATTACACAGCAGATATTCATAAATGGAGTTATACTGAATTTAAATACAGCAGCAAGGTTGATTTTTTCTAGATATTGGAAGACTGGGGTTTTTTTTTCCTTGGATGCAGCAGTACTTTGAGAAAATAAAGTAGATGTATCCTTGATCAGGGAGCTGCGGTGGCTCAAATGGTTAAGACGCTGAACTGCAGGCTGTGGAAGGTCAGTAGTTCAGCAGTTCGAGACCCGGGTGCCGCATGATGGAGTGAGCTCCCATCTCTAGTTCCAGCTCCTGCCAACCTAGCAGTTCAAAAGCAAGAAATTGCAAGTAGATAAATAGGTACCACTTCGGTGGGAAGGTAACAGCGTTCCGTTCGCCTTGGTGTTTAGTCATGCCGGCCACATGACCACGGAAATTTCTTCGGACAGCGCTGGCTCTTCGGCTTTGAAACGGAGATGAGCACCGCAACCCTAGAGTCGGATTCGACTGGCTTTCGAGCAAGGGAACCTTTACCTTTACCTATCCTTGATCAGACACTGCTTTGCAAAGTAACATAGATGTTAGGGAAGTAAATTCAATATTATTTCTTTATATGTTGAAAGGAGGCAAATGGAACCTAATCTGTTTTCCAGTTCTACTTTTTCTGGGGTTCAGGTGGTGCTCTAACAAGCAGAATATCATTGTAACTTTAATGGTTGTTCTGTTTGTTTCTGGCGGGTATAAAATAAATAAATAAATAAATAAATAAATATATTGGTCTTTTATGTGGTTGGCCATGATTGTGAACAAATTGTTTTGTTTTTGATAATGTACATTTCTAAATTTGAAAAATATTAATTAAACATTCCTGAAACCACTTAAAGAAACCATATAACGGTCCTGATATTTACTGTTCCAAGATTTATTCAGATGGGTAGCTGTGTTGGTCTGAAGCAGCAGAACAAAGTTTGATTCCAGTGGCATCTTTAAGACCAATGAAGTTTTATTCAACTAACCTCAAGGGTGGGGGTCAGCCGTTAGGAAGGGCCACTCAGAGCCAAGATGCATATCCAGAGCTGAAATTGGATCAGGTGGCCAGCAGTACCCCCAGTGTACATGGGAGAACAGAGACTCAGGGTGTGCACCCTTCTTCACATACATTGAAACAGATTTCCTCAAATATTACATGCAGGTGGAAACTAACCCCCCCCACACACACACCTGATATTTGAGGAAATCTGTTCTTTCAGAACACTTAGCTGTATGCATCTAGGCCTAGTAATTTGTCAGTTTTTAATTTCTCCATTAGTCATATGACCTCTCTTATCACCTCAATTCAACTCAGGTCTTTCAACACCCCTCCTGAAATCAGTGGTTATGGACTGGGCAAGCACCTCCCATATTCCACAGTGAAGACAGATACAAAAAATGGCCTCACTGCCTCCCTGGCTGTTTTTCTGCTACGAATGTATTTGAAGAAATTTTTATTGTTGGTCTTTGTTTTTTGCAATATATTTCTCATAGTCCTTTGTTGCCTGTTTGATCATCAACTTGCATTTTCTTTGCCAAAGCCTGTGCTCCCTTTTATTTACTTCACTCGGACTAGCCTTCCATTGCTTAAAGGAATCCTTCTTACCTTTTACTACTTCCAATACTTTGTTCGTTAACCACTCAGGCCTTTTTTAAATACCTATTTGTACTTTTCCTAACCTGCAGTATACATTTTATTTGAGCTTCCAGGATTGTAGAAAGAAAATCTGAAATCTTTTCTATATGATAAGGAGAATGTGACAGCAGAAACTCTTCTCATTCACTCCTGAATGTCCTGGCAGAATTAACATTCAGAGGTCATTTCTTGGGGGAACGCTGGGGAACGCAGTTCCCCCGGGTGAGGTATGGGGGGCGGGGCACATGACGAAGCCCCGCCCCCGCTTCCGGCTGCCCCGCTTCCGGCCCTCATTCAGCCAGGAGCCTTGCCCTCCCGCCGGCCTTGCATGTCCACTGCCGGGCCCCTCATGGGGCTCGGCAGTGGAGCTGCAAGGCCGGCACCGGCGGCCGGGACCGTTGGAGGCGGGGTGTGTGGCCTTATGACACACTTCCAGTGATGTCAGGGGGTGTGGCATATGCTAATGAGTTATGCTAATGAGTTCCACTAGCTCTTTTTCTACGAAATGACCCCTGTTAACATTAATATCTTCCTTGAATTGCAAAGCAGTCCAAATGTGGAATTGTGTGTTCTCCAAACTTTCTTCACACAAATATTTTGAGCATAAACTCACTCACAAAAAGAAATGAGCTCCTAGGTCAAAATGGTGATCACAGCTTTTTTATAGGATGATGGCAACTGTAATCAAAAGTTTGGTTGTATGACAAGGCCATGCATCCTGATTAAACATCTTTAAAGTCACAAAACAAAAATTCAGTGCCTTGCTCTAATCTTGTAACATGTTATTCTACAGGGTTTTTCATCTTCATCTTCTACTGTGTAGCAAAGGAAAATGTTCGTAAGCAGTGGAGACGATATCTGTGTTGTGGAAAATATAGGCTGGCTGAAAATTCTGGTAAATGATATATTTTTGTTCTTTGATTGTATCATAAGTTATAATAGTCAAGTCACCCAGCTCTGAGGACTCTGGTGATTGGAGCTGTGAAGAGGGCAAGACAGATCTTTCTACAAACCGGAAAAAGATCCTACGTTTGCAGAAAAAAATATAAAATAAAAAATACATGGAAAGGGGGTGGTAAAAAAACCCAAAATGATAAACAGAGCACATGTAGTTTTAAGCAACAAATTTCCTCAGTGGCTGTTGCTAGGCAACCGCAGTATTCCAGGGCTGGTTCTGTCAGTAAAAGGAATAGGGAGGGGGCAAGGTCCTTTCCAAAACCATAATTAGCTGAAACACTTCATATGATCCATCTCATCTTTGTGCTGAAACAAAGATTTCACTTTCAGAGTCTTTCTAGAGACATTGTGTATTTTCAGGGTGCCTTGAGTTAACCAGATGTTCTTAGGGAGAAAAAAAATTCTAGTGTTGGATCCAATGATTTGATTTGGCTAAAAGTAGAGTCTTCCTCTGAGACAAGAAACCTTCCCGCCAGTAGGGCATCTCTCTTCTGTTGGAGAAAGTCTCCACCATTAGTGGAATGCAGGGGTCATTTCGTAGAAAAAGAGCTAGGGGGACTCATTAGCATAACTCATTAGCATATGCCACACCCACTGACATCACCGGAAGTGTGTCCTCCCCACAGCCGGCGGCGACCTCCAGCGGGCACCAGCAGGGAGCTCCAGGCCCCGCCCTCCTGCACCTCACCCGGGGGGATGGCGTCCCCCCGCGTCCCCCCCCCAAATGACCCCTGGTGGAATGGAAACTTCAGTTTCAGAAGATAAAAGAGGAGGTGCATTTAGGTTTCTTTTAAATTTTAAGTAACTCTTGTATCTTTGAGATAGTAAACAACAAAATGCACACTTTCTTGAGCACCACAATGAATACACTATTATAAACTAAAAAAAGCTACACTTATCAAAGACAGAATATGGAAAATTTGATATGTATGTAAACATTGGAGCACATACATATTGTAAAATGTGATACATGTACAATCATTATAAAAACATAGCATAACATCAAAAATACTGTACTTAGAACTCAGATTTTTATTGCATTGAAGTAAGCTTTAACATACTACACTATTGTCTGTTTTATGTATTCTCCAGATTGGAGTAGAACTGCTACTAATGGTTTAAAGAAGCAGAATGTTAACCAAGGAGTTTCGAGTTCTTCCAATTCTTTACAATCAAACAGTAACTCTACTAATTCTACCACAATGCTAATGAATAATGATTATTCAGTGCTCGCGATTGGGAATGGTATGTATACTTAAATTACCAATTTTCCAAATTATATTCTTATAATATTAAAAGGGGCTTGGCATCTTGACAAATTAAAGTGGACAATAGATCAATTGTACTAGATGGATGAACTTTAGAAGGCATATTATTTGTTTGAACAAATATTTTATGTAACAGCATGTGTCTTGAATCCTTTAAATCCTTAATGTGAGATGTTCATTTAAATACATTGTACTATTGTTTACTATTATGGCTAAAATAAGTTATGTAATATACCATTATGGCTAAAATATTATGTAATATTCAGATATATCAAAACAAGTTGGTTGAATGAAAATACTTTTCTCTCTGGATAGAAACAAACAGAATTTTTGATAATACTCTTTTGACAATAAAAATCACCTCCATTTTTTAGGGTCCATTTATTCATTATGTGAATGGCTTGGAAGCCATTCCATGGGTGAACTGATGCTGAGGAACAGTGCCTTGCCATAGCTACATTTTAAGGGAAATGTTTTTTTTAATTTTCAGGTAACATCACTAGTGAGAAGAATGGTGTTTCTTTTAATGTGCAGAATGGTGATGTGCGACTTCATGAATTTTCAGGAAAACAGCTAGCATTTCAAGAAACTGACGAAACAGACCCTAAAAAATCTCGCATTACAGTGAGAAGGACTTCAAAGAGAGGAAACCTGCACTTTATTGAACCAATGTGATTTTTTTAAAGTCCCCTTTGTTTCATAGTGTGAATACAGATATATTTTAACTGTTTTACATAATGTGAGAAAACAAAAAATGACATTATTTAATATACAATAGTAAAATTGAAGGCAGCCTTGGATTTTGAAACAGCATTAACTAAGATTGTCAGAGTTTTTATTATGATTTCTATTAATGTCAGTGGTTCTTATTGACAAGGTACTTTAGATGCAGCATCATAGCTGTAAGCCAACTGAATTTTTTGGAAGATCCTTTACATTCAACTTGCTGTTAGGACTAACCTTAAACAGTATGCAATAATGTTGTACAAAAAAAATAATTGTAAACTAAACTTTACAGCAGATGCTCAAACTGAGTTTCATAGTAATCTGTGATGCCTGCATCTTCCTTTTAAGAAGTTGTAGTCACAGACACATAGCACTGTATATATGGAAAATAACATCTACCTTTTGATTACACTATAGTTTTATATTTATTTCTTGTAAATTAAATTTAATATTCCTTTGTATATAAAAAGTTGTGTTGGATTTTAAAACATTATTGTAATTATGAATCTGTACAGTGCTAATTATTTCTGTTAATTGGGAATCTTTTACACTCGAAATTTATTCTGTATGTGAAATAACTCAAAATAGCCACATACAAAAGCTACAGGAAGACATCGGATTGTAAATAAGAATTTTGTTGCTGCAAAAGCTCTGATTGCCTCTTTCTTGAGTGCTGAATATGAAACCAGTTTTGCCCTCTCAAGGCAGTTGTTTCAAAGGGAGGTCTCCCTTCACTCAAGGGTGGGGGAGGGAGATAAAAATTTGGACTCCCTTTCATGGTCACATAAGGGAGAAGGTGAAAGTATACCTTCTGTTTGCCCTTGGAGAATGGATGAAGGATTTATTGATTCTTCTGTGGGTTGAGGACTCCTTGTGCTAGCCTGGGGGCAGCAGTGCACATGAGCCACCATAGCTAGATCCAATTTTTGATGCTGAAGGCAAGTGCAGATCCTTTTGACCATAGATATTTTCTTGTAAGGATGGGAGTTCTATTTTTTCCCCTTTTTTGTTACCAGAATGTCTGTATGTAGTGGACTCACTTGATTACTATATACATGTGTTTATTATATATGATCGCTGAACAACTAACTTTACCAAAGTTTATATTCTTCAAATCTATTAATGCTTTCTCAGTAAACCTGTGTAGGTTATTTCTCAAGCTTCTCTTTTTTTAACCAAATATAGAGACTTAACCTTTGTACGATACTTTTAACAGATGGACACACAGAATATTTCTGAATGTTACACAAGTGGATCATGCCCACCATGCATTTTCTTAATAAAGATACATGAAATAATAAAATGGGAAGACATTACCATTTGCCATTCTCGTAGTAAAGTGAGCTATTGCTTGGTCCTTGAATTTGTAATCATCCCAAGATTATGGATTTTTACAGACTAACGAGCCAAAAGAACAAAACTGGTTAGGGACTCTGTTAAGTACTAGTCTCTAGGCACCTGGAAAATTGCCAAAATTTTATTTTAGCATTAACATGGGAATTGTCATATACACTCATGGGATAGGGTAAAGTATAAAATAAATAAATAAATAAATAAAAATAAATAATACTGAAATTTACATTTATACTGTTTTACTATTATACTTCCTAGAAATAACTGAATAGCAAACAGTGTCCTGTTTTATGTCAGTACTATAAAAATGCAAATAGCCCTAGCCAGGATAAGGACAATAGCCTTGGTCACATCTTAGTTATAGAGTTTGGGAGGCTGAAAGAATGAACTTTTATTTTTAGTACAGGAACAGACAGTGAGATAATAAAACCTCTGCACATGAGGAAAAAGCTGTCTTACTGTTAGTTGTTTTACTGGAAGCCACTTGTCACACCTGGATTCTATCCTGAGCACATGTTGCTAGGCCATATGGGGAGAGCCCCAACAACAGTAATGAATGTTCTCTAAACACCTGCAATTCCAAGAATTAAGAGCCTATCCTTATGTATCAGTTTAGGGATATGTCAGAGTAAGGATTAAGAGGACTGCTCAGTCTGTTGTGTTTTCCTTGCTCAGTCTGTTGTGTTTTCATATGCTTTGTGTCCTTTATATTTTCTTAATAAAGTTCTTAATAAATTTCCTTTCATTTTCAAATGTGGTCAGTCTCACCTCTGACCCACATTAAAGTCCCTGTTCAGTCATACATATCAAGAGTGGACAGGGAGGGGGCAGTGGTTGGTTGCTACTGCCCTAGTGTGCAAGTAAGAACACTTAGTTCCTGGGAAGTGAGTGCAGGTAACAAGGGAAACTTGAGAACAAATTGGAGTCTTTAAAAGACAATATATCAGAGGGTATCTGCTGCCAGCCCTTAGGAGGTAATGTGCCCTGTAATTGACTAGCTGGTGATGGTGATCTCCAGGGAGGAAAGAGAAGAGAGCCTCATAGAAGCCTTAACTGAGAATGAGACTCAGAATGGCAGCATAGCTTTCTCACTCCTATGTGGGCACAAACAAGCCATTTGCCTACATGGTAGTGGAAACGTAAATTATTCAAGAAGAAAAGGGGTTTATTCAACTCTGCTTGTGAATATAATTCTATTCCCATGCATTTTACAACCAATTATGATTAGTAATTAGTACACCAGTTTGGTGTAGTGGTTAAGTGCGTGGACTCTAATCTGGGAGAACCAGGTTTGATTCCCCACTCCTCCACTTGCACCTGGCTGGATGACCTTGGGCAAGCTGTAGTTCTAATAAGAGCTTTTCTTGGAAAAGAGCAGTTTTTGTCAGAGCTCTCATAGCCCCACCTACCTCACAGGGTGTCTGTTGTGGGGAGGGGAAGGGAAAGGAGTTTGTAAGCCGCTCTGAGACACCTTTGGGTAGTGAAGGGCGGGGTATAAATCCAATCTCTTCTTCTTCTAGTAAAATCGAGGATAGATACGTAGATTCTGAGAATCAGGAAATATATTTATACTAGAAGCAGTTGCCTGAATGATTCAAATAAAAGATAAAAAGATTAAAATACTCAAAAGATTAAAAAAGAAAAAAGTTGTTTAAAAGATTTAAATCAATCTACACTTTGACAGACATATTGGCCATACAAGAGGAGAATTGTAAGATGATTTATCAAGATCCCTGGTCCATAAGCTGGTGCCATGCCAATACAATACTAGCATGCCTGAGCAAGTAAGATTTAAGGCAAGTGCTGAAGGTATTTCAGGGCTAGCACGTCTTTACCAATGTTCAGGGGTTCCAACAATTGCAATCACAGGTAGTTAACAGCAACAAGAACTGTAAAGAATTAAGGAAACAGAATAACAACTGGGTAATATTTAACTAGGATATTTCTGTTTGCAGCTTGCCAGTTAATGCACTGGTTCCAGTGCCCTTCTTCCCAAGACTCTCTTAACAGTCCATGTTGAGCATCAATCTGATAGCTGGAATCCAATTTTTACAATCCCTAATTATAGCTTTCTAGCTCTCAAAGGCCTGTTCCTGATTGCATTTCTCTCTCAGATTTTTTTTTCTTTTCCGGCCTTGCTATTATAGAGTTCGTGATGGCTACCATCGACGCTCTCTTCCCCTGGCCAGCACAGATATTCTGTAGGTGTCTTTCAGGTGTCCCTCCAGCATCTGGTGCAGTTGTTAATTCAAGTTTCAGGGCAACAGGGCTTCTCTTCCTAGTTGTTAGAGGTGGTGGCGGCTCCAAAAGCCTGGCGGAAGAGCTCCGTTTTACAGGCCCTGTAGAACTGTAGTAGGTCCTACAGGGCCCTGATCTCCTCCGGGAGCTCATTCCACCAGGACGGAGCCGCCACCAAGAAAGCCTGTGCCCTGGTTGTCACCAGCCTAGCCTCCTAAAGGCTTGGGTGGACCAGAGGATTCTGGGCCCCTGAATGCAGTGCTCTCTGGGGAACACGTGGAGAAAGGCGGTCCCTCAGGGATGTAGGTCCCTGACCATAAAGGGCTTTAAAGGTAAGAACCAGCACCTTGAAATGAATTTGGTATGCTATTGGCAGCCAGTGCAATGCCTTCAGTGCAGGTTGGATGTGCTCCCAGATTGGGAGTCCCATCAGCAGCCTGGCCGCAGCATTTTGCACCAGCTGCAGCTTCCGGATTTGAGACAAGGGCAGCCCCATGTAGAGAGCATTACAGTAGTCCAATCTTGAGGTGACCATTGCATGGATCACTGTTGCCAAGTCACTGCGTTTGAGGAAGGGAACCAACTGCCTAATAAGCTGAAGATAGTAAAAGGCTGCCTTGGCAGTGGCTGCTACCTGGGCCTCCATTGTTAAGGAGGCGTCTAGGAGCACTCCCAGACTCCTAACCTCTATCGCTGGAACCAGAGGTGCCCCATCGAAGGTCGGGAGCGGGATCCCTACCCACGGACTGCCCTGACTCAGGCACAGGACTTCCGTCTTCGTCAGATTCAGTTTCAGCCAGCTCAGCCTAAGCCAACCAGCCACGTCTCGTAATGCCCGGTCTAGATCTTCCAGTTTGGAGTCGGACTGGCCGCGCAACATTAGATAGACTTGGTTCTAAATGGGGTTTGAGACCTGGTGATAGATGTAGATGTTGCTGCATCAGTTGGGAACAGTGACCACCATACTATTAAGTTCAACATTCATGTCAATGGAAAGTTAGCCCAAAGTCCAAAGCTTTAACATTTGATTTTGAAAGTGGGAACTTTACAAAATGAGGGGAATAGTTAAAGGATGATGAAGAGTCAAATCCCTAGAAGGTTCTGGAAAGCTATTTAAAACCACTCTGATTGAAGCTAGATAGAATGCATTCCTCAGGTAGGGAAAGGTACTGTTAAGTCTAAAAGAATGTCTGCATGGTTAACAACACAAATTAAGAAAGTTGTAAAAAGCAAAAAGGCTTCTTGTAAAAAGTGAATGGTCTTCCCTAATGAATTGAATGAAAGGGACCACAAACTCTGGCAAAAGAAATATAAATTAATAATTAGGCACACAAAAAGAGAATTTGAGGAGTGGATTGCTAAAAGCATCAAGACAAATAATAGGCACCCTCCTCTAGTG